GTTGTTGAAGAACTTAAGAAATAGTTTATACTCATATGCTCTATTGGAGTGTTCGGGAAATAGTGTAACCTCATATACCCGTTGGGAGGTAATCAGGTTATTCTTAAGAATATTTTGAGTAATATTCTCCAGAAACTTCCTGTTGAGATTAGGGAAATAGTTTAGACTCGTATACCTATTGGAGTATTCTGGTCTCTTGTTTGTTGGTAGAGATGAACCCGATGATGGAGAGGAAGAATTTTATATTCTATCTCCTGGTCTCTTGTTTGTTGGTAGAGATGAACCCGATGATGGAGAGGAAGAATTTTATATTCTATCTCCTGGTCTCTTGTTTGTTGGTAGAGATGAACCCGATGATGGAGAGGAAGAATTTTATATTCTATCTCCTGGTCTCTTGTTTGTTGGTAGAGATGAACCCGATGATGGAGAGGAAGAATTTTATATTCTATCTCCTGGTCTCTTGTTTGTTGGTAGAGATGAACCCGATGATGGAGAGGAAGAATTTTATATTCTATCTCCTGGAGTAAAGAAACTCAAAGTGGGATCTCCACTTAGAGAATCTGGATTGGTTTGAATAATCCTAACTGTCATAAGGTTTGATTACTCAATTCAAAAGTGGACCCTTCGTTCGCAAAAAATGAATCGAAAGGAGATTTTGGTTGTGGTCCTAACTGTAGTAAGGTTTGACCAAGTTGGAGTTTTGAGACGATCCTAACTGTTTAAAGGTTTGATCGTTCAATTTGTGGACCTCTCGTTCATGGAACGAATCGAGAGGGGATTTTGGCTTTGGTCCTAACTGTTTAAAGGTTTGACCAAGATGGGAATTTGAGACGATCCTAACTGTTTAAAGGTTTGATCGTTCAATTTGTGGACCTCTCGTTCATGGAACGAATCGAGAGGGGATTTTGGCTTTGGTCCTAACTGTTTAAAGGTTTGACCAAGATGGGAATTTGAGACGATCCTAACTGTTTAAAGGTTTGATCGTTCAATTTGTGGACCTCTCGTTCATGGAACGAATCGAGAGGGGATTTTAGCTTTGGTCCTAACTGTTTAAAGGTTTGATCAAAATGGGAATTTCGAGACGATCCTAACTGTTTAAAGGTTTGATCGTTCAATTTGTGGACCTCTCGTTCATGGAACGAATCGAGAGGGGATTTTGGCTTTGGTCCTAACTGTTTAAAGGTTTGACCAAAATGGGAATTTTGAGACGATCCTAACTGTTTAAAGGTTTGATCGTTCAATTTGTGGACCTCTCGTTCATGGAACGAATCGAGAGGGGATTTTGGATTTGGTCCTAACTGTTTAAAGGTTTGACCAAAATGGGAATTTAAGACGATCCTAACTGTTTAAAGGTTTGATCGTTTAATTTGTGGACCTCTCGTTCATGGAACGAATCGAGAGGGGATTTTGGATTTGGTCCTAACTGTTTAAAGGTTTGACCAAAATGGGAATTGGACCTCTCGTTCATGGAACGAATCAAGAGGGGATTTTAGCTTTGGTCCTAACTGTTTAAAGGTTTGACCAAAATGGGAATTTTGAGAGGGAAGATTGATCTAAAGAGGTGATCGAATCTCATCTTAGCAAAAGAGTATTCGGAAGTCATAGTAGGAGTTTAGTGTTTATCACTTTGTTCATAATGATCGGGGTTATCCCTAAGAATATTACATTTAATATTCTTCCGGAAACTTCCCGTTACATGAATTATCCACCCCCCAGCTTTCTTTGCAAAACTGGGTGTAACGAGGAGTACATTATCCTCAGTCGCATGTTCGAGTTATCCTTAAGAATATAAGATTCTCCAGGAACTTCCCGTTACATAAATCATCCACCCCCAGCTTCCTTTGCGAAACCGGGTTTAACATTGTACTCAGTTGGATGACCGAGAAGCAGTTTATACTCATACACTCTTTGGAGTGTGGGGAAACAGTTTATACTCGTGCACCCACTGGAGTTGTATGGTCGTCTTTACTCGACTTCTTTCGTCGTTATGACGCCGGAGTCAATTAAGGCTTGGATTTTGTTTTTGAGTCCAAAGCAAATCTCGGTGGGATGAAGAACCCTTCTGTGGTACGCACAGTAGTTTGGATCCGTAATCCTCTTAGCTCCATCCTGATCTTTAATAGGTGGTAGCTCGATTTTGTCATTAGCGAGGAGGTATTCCAATATGGCTGGAGCTTCATCATCTTCGAAAGAATATTCCTTTTGAAACCTCGGGTCGAGAGTCACATTCTCAACGATTGCAGATGTCATTGGTTGCCAGCGATTGCAGATGTCGTCGGTCGGATTCTCTCAGCTTTCTTTCTTTTAAGAAAGTGCTCAGCTGGTTCACCCCGAGATTTTAACTCCTTCCAAGTTGTGGATGGCACGACCCCCAGAGCTTCCAGGACATCGATGGAGAGGTTATTGTGGCATGTTTGCAGGATAAACTCCTCTGTAATAGGATCTCTGCAATTCATTACCATGTTACGGAAGCGCTTGACAAAATTGTCAACTGACTCTCCGTCTTTTTGCTTCTCATCCAAAAGGGTTCCGATTGACACTTCGGTGTCATCATCGAAGAAATTACTGAGGAACAAACTTTCCATGTCATCCCAGCAATTAACGCTCTCTGGCTTGAGCCGTCGGTACCAATCGAAGGCGGGCCCACGAAGGGTGCCAACGAATGACCGGACCATTAAAGCCTCGTCTCCCCCCCTCTAGGGCCTTTTAGTAATGACTTATATTTTAAGGCAATTGAGGACTCATGAGCAAAATTTTCTCACACATGATTTAAAGCCGACAGTAGTGGTTTTCGCATTGAAGAAGTAAAGACATCATTCCTATGGAGTACCAAAGAAACTATACACGGATTATTAGAGTTTGGAAGTACCTTTATCCCAAAAGAAGTATAACCAGAGGCACCGGCAAAGAGTCCAGTTTATTAAAGATTATGAGTTTGCGATTTAGTATTAATTAGGAAAAGACGAGCGTTGTAGTAGACACGTTGAGAAGGAAGCGTCGTTGAGAGATTATAGTTTTAAAATGTTTAATGTTTATTGTATCGAGAACTTTAAACTCTCAGCCAGATTAGCTTTAGACAGGAGATTAGCAGAAACAACATTTTCTTAGGAGCTTTATCAGTGAAGTCATCTTGGAGTTATGGAAAGATCAGTACCCAGTTAAGAGATTCTTAGATTAAAAATCCAAAAGAAGGTAACTTCTATAAAGATTTAAGCAAAATGAACTATTGAAACAGACGGGGGTTTCTAAATGGAAGGTCGGCTAGTGATGTCGGGTTATCCACAACTTAAGAAGGATTTATCGGATGAGGCATATCGTACATCTAGACACATCGAAAATGTACAAAGAGTTGAAAGGACGTGTTAACGGAGCGGCGTGCGTAAGGAGATTTTGAAATATGTAGCTAAATGTTCTACCTTCTAATAAGTGAAGGCAGTACGTCAGAGACCAGCTAGAACCCTACAGCCTTTACCCATTCCAGAGTGAAAGTGGGAAGATATATCTATGAATTTCATTAAAGGGATGCTAAGATCAAAGAAAGAAAATGAATCTTTTGGATGATAATTGATTCGTTGATGTAGTCGGTGAAATTTTGCTGTGAAAACGACTTGTACAGTGGAGATGTATGCAAAGATATTTGTCCAGGAAATAGTATGATTTCATGAAAGTTGGTTTTGTCATGGAATTCATTATATCTTCGTTTGATTACAACAAATTCAAAGAAATAGCCTTTTTATAAGACTTCTTTTACACAACAAAATGAAAATTACAACTCTTGGGAAACAAACGCAGGATCGTTGTTTGGATCACTGCTTGCGTGGGATCTTTGCCTGTGCCGGGGGTGCGTTAGCCCGTGGACCACCAAATCACAGATTCTGATCGAATCGTGAGGGGTTTATGATTCTGACTTCGTTTATCGAAGTGAGAACTTGAAACGATATCTTATCAAGGTAAGATAATCGTTCTTCTTGAAATCAAGTCAAAGCCTGAATATCAAGGAGTTACCAGAAGCTCGAGTACTCTGTCTTCTCTGCTCTGGAATCAGCCTATGGATGCTCTCTGATCAGCCTTGGATCTCTGCTGGAAGCCCCCTCAAAGAAATCACCTCGGGGGTATTTATAATCTCTGTATGAACAGTGCTCGCGAGACAGCGTTTGCTGTCTCGGCGGGCGAGACAGCGTTTGCTGTCTCGCTGGCCGAGACAGTGTTTGCTGTCTCGCCCAGCGAGACAGTAAATTTGCTGTCTCGCCCAGCGAGACAGTAAATACTATCTTGGAAAACGAATATTCTTGACAGTTTCTTGCTGTAACTGTCTTCCCACGTTTTAAACTCCGTTATTCTGGCAGTTATCAACGTGATTCTCGCCCACGACGTTCCCCACGTTCTTGAACAGTTGGTGGCCACGTGTCGGCGGTTATAAAGTGGTTTCTAACTTCTTTGAAAACTGTCTCATGGGCGAGACAGAGAATGCTGTCTCGCCTGCGAGACAGAGAATGCTGTCTCGCCTGGCGAGACAGTAAAGACTGTCTCGCGTGCGAGACATCCCAAACTTGTGTTCTTCTGCCTTTTTGGATGATTTCCTCTTGAGCTGTATTTGGATATCTTTCAGCATTTTTTGACGCCTACAGTTTTAAATCCTTTTTATTAGTAAGTCAAATTAGTACAGATTGAAGTTCCTTTTGAAGCTATGAACAGCCTATGGACCAGCTAAACTAGCCTACTTTTAGTAAAATCTCAACATTATATTTCTTAATTACTTAGGGATTCATGGTTATTAAAAATGTTAGTAGCTTCCTGATGGCTTCACATTGATAATTCTATCTATCAGATGATAGAGTTAAATTTTCTACATTGTTTTGTGCAGCTAACTACAAATTCCTTAATATTAGTACAATGTCTTTCTCGTCCCCATTATTTTCATTGGCACGTTTTTTTTTTATAAGTAATGTATAAATTGATATCCTTTAGATGAATTGTCATTGATGTAGACCATTCTGTAGGTTACGGGATGAACGTGGTCATATCATTGAGCATACGCAGGTAAGATTTGCTTAATCTTTTTAATATACATGTTTTTACCTCATAGAGAATTCAAACATTAATCACGAGTCACAACTAAAATTGGCTGCAATATATTATACTGTAAACATTTTGCATTCAAACCCTCGGATGTATTATAAACAGAATTTATGAATTTGGTGAAAAATGTTGAATTAGTTAGCATTTAGGGTTAATTGTGTTGGCTAATTACATGTCAGCTTTCTACGTATTCATATTCCTAATTATTTATAAAATCATTAGATATTAGTGTAAGGAAAGGATACTCTAGTTTAGTCCGTTTTTATTCCCTTGATATAATTCTTTACACAATTATCAGTGTCTATCTCTCACCAATTTAAAATTTATGGTCTTTGAAACAGCTAAAATTGCTTGATGAATTTCTCAACATTTTGCTTTTATGTTCTTTTGCTTTGTTGATCTGCATGATGTACCCTTCGTTCTGATCTCTGTCATATTTTTGCTAGCCAATTTGTTGTCCTTGTGGGCCACAACATCGAGTTCCTTCCTCTTGCGGCAACTTCTGTAAGTACTTTGACTATTGCTCACCTTTAACTGACTTTATTTGCTTCTATTTCTGTACCTTCCCTCAAGGGAAAAAGGCTAACAATTCTGTAATACACCAATAGTTGATGCACTGATGAAAGGAAAGGCCAATACTGCTCATTGTCTACGATTTCCAGGTGAATGGTATGGTATCCAGAATCATGTTTAAACTTCTGCTGTTATATTTTATGAGCATTCAAAAATTTTTATTGGTTTTAGGCATATGGAATACTGATTATATCTTGGGTAGTCAGCATCTTTTCTGTCATATTTTTAATATACGCTTTGATGGCGCACATCTAAAACTTGGCTATTCGTATGCTCTGTTGTACTCTAGAAGGTTGTTATGGCAATGTTTCAAAAATAAAAATATATTATCGAGATTATAGAATCACGTGACTTATTGAATGCTGTGACTATATCTCAGTGCGACCATGCGTGATCTATATAGCACGGACACGGATCAGACACGGCCATCCGACACGCCGACACGAGGCAAATCCTAAAAAATACATAGGATACGTGTGTTTGACACGTGTGTCCGACACGGACACGACACGACACGGCTTCATGTTATGCGTGTCCGTGCTGTTTGACACGTGTGTCCGACACGGACACGACACGACACGGCTTCATGTTATGCGTGTCCGTGCTTCATAGTGCGTGATTTGCTGGATTGATGCACCAATTATGATATAGGCAAATGCCTTTGTTAATGGTTTAGTTTTTGAAATATGCAAAGAAAATTCTTGGTCAAATTGAAGACATGAAGAAGAAATTGATTTTTCCTGATTATATATTTTGCTATGCCAGTGGCTCTATTGTCTATATAGGCTTCTAACTTTGTAGATTTTCTTTATTAGAAAATGCTCATGGTATGATATCCAGAATCATGTTTAAACTTCTGCTGTTATATTTTATGAGCATTCAAACTTTTTTTTATAGGTTTTCAGTATGGGATACTAGTATACCTTGGGTAATCAACATATTTTTTGTCATATCTACTCCTCTATACAAATGGGAGAACCCAAAATTCACTATTCATGTTACAGTAAATACTACAGTAGAATTTACTGCACAACATTATTAATGTAGCAAGCATGAACCGGGCGCTGTGATTTTTTGGAAAAATGCTGTAGTACGTGGGAATACTGTAGCAGAGTGTGTGAGGGGGGGGGGGGAATGTAGCAATTCCAAAGCAAAAAGTACTGTAGCAGTTATAACCGGGATTACTATAGCGGGAAAAATATGACGTGCTTTGCACGGTGTTCACACTAGTTTTAATATAAGCTGTCATGGTATATCTAAAACTTGGCTATTTAGATGCTCTGTTGTACTCTAGAAGGTTGTTAAGGTCACAATCATAGTTTAATATTGGAAATTATGGAAACACGTGACTTTTTGAATGCTGTGGCTAGATATTATAGAGTAGACATGCATGATTTGCTGGTTTGATGCAACAATTATGAAATAAGAAAAGGCGGTTCCTTGTTAAATCCTACACTTGCAACATATGGAAACTGATTTTAATGATTTAGTTTTGAAATATGCAAAGAAATTTCTTGGTCAAAATGAAGGCATGCAGTAGTAATTGATTTTACCTGATTATATATTTTGTTATACTTATGCCAGTAGCTCTATTGTTTACATAGGCATCTATCTTTTTAGATTTTTTTAATTAGAAAATGCTTACGATATATATATTCTCAGTCTTGCAAGCATTGAGATAAAATTTGGATAATTTCATTTTTTAATCTCTCCCTTGTATGATGAGAGGCTAATATCAGTAGTTTTTATTGTTAGGTTCCATGTTTTTGGCATTGGAAAGCGATCACTTGGCTTTAATGTTCACATCCAGGTGAAAAAAGGATCTTCTATTTCGGTAGGTTTTCTTGATTGCGGACTGGTTTCACCATTATTCTGATTTATATGATTTTTCTTGTAATGTAAGAATGTCTATTCTCTAGTATATTTTTTGTGCAGTGTAATATGGCTACCTTCTCTTATATATATCGTATTTCTGTACATCTAGCAGTTGCATATCCATTGCCAATACTGCTCTTGAAGACATTGCCTAAATCAAGCTGCCAGAAAGCTAGTAGCTAACAGTTAGTGAGTAGCAAGAGTAGGGTTGTTATTATGACTATACAGCCTGTACTTTTTGTGGAGATAAATAGGGATGGAAATATTCCTTTGACCTTTGGAAAGCATATAATCATGGAAATTATAGCAAAACTCGTTGGCAATTATAGCAAAACTCGTGGCCTAGGAAGTCAAAACACGACCGAGATAAATCATCTTTGATTGATATTCAAGATATGACTCGTCAGATTATGAGAAGCATTCAATGCGGTCTCTATATGATTCAAATCGTAAAAAAAATTGTCTCCTCAAATATACAGTAATATAGGCTGATCATCATGATCATACTAACTGCAGTCTGCAGGTATTATCTATACGGAATTATATTCAACTTTAAGGAATTATGCTGAAAAAGTACATAATTGAAAACCTTCTTGCAACTATAAAGATCATTTCACTTATTGTACCAGCCTCACATTTGGTATCAACCTCGTCACATAATTATTTTATTAATTTAGAGATAATAAAGCTAACAGAGCCCTGAAAATCTGGATATATGCAGCTAACAGAGATGCTTCCCATTTCTCTGCTTTTGCATGATCCTCTTGTCATTTTATGAGGTTGACAACTACAGTTCAACAATCCATTATTTAGCTTATTTCTTAGTGAGATTATTCCTTTGTGTTGCATACTAATGTTAGTGAACAAATATGACAATTCAGTAAACACTTAACACCCCTCCCTCCCTCCTTCTCTCTCACCCCCAGCCTTTATTGTATCTATGTACTGTGCAATTTATCTCTAATAATTAAATTTATTTGTTTATACCCATTCTGTTTTCAACAAGTTAAATAAAAAATTCTTTTTCTGTTGCTACTTTCAGTGATCATGTTTGATGTTGAACTTATTTCCCTTGTTTCATTGACATCATTCAATCCTTTGTTATTTTAAAATGAATTATCATCTATTATGGAAGTTTGAGCCATGGGTTCCATATCACGTAAGTTGACTGATCTTGATCTTCCAGATATTTGAAAATGTCAAAAGAATATTTGTTTCTTACCTTTCACATATGACTATCAATATTTTACTGAATGATTGTTAACTAAGTGCTTATGTCATTTCTCTTACCTAGCTGTGATTATTGTAATATTCCTTTCAGGAGGTCATTGTCGGTCCTGAAAATAGGACAGTATTATCTGCGGACAACTTTCTGAGAGTCAATCTTGTTGGTGACTTTGTTGGCTATACAAGTATTCCATCATTTGAGGATTTCTATCTAGTAACTCCTCGATTGGTATGTTATACAATTATCAATTTCTTACTATTATTTCAAGTTCTAGTAGTCATTGTCAGTTTCTGATGTATTGTAAAACAATCCAACGATATTTAGTTGATGTTTGTGGGAAAGCATTAAAAAGACAGAAGTTTGAGAGTTTGAAGAATTTCTAAGCTTTGCGTCGAAGTTCAAAAACGCAATTTGTGTGGCTGGGTATGCGGCGAAAAAACCATAGTGAGATACCTGCATCAAGCAATTATATAGAAAAATATTATCGCAGTCACATCCAAAGATTATGTGATCTCATAATTCTCATGGGCCTGTAAATTCAGGCCAATAAAAGAATATTCAGTGGCTATCAGGTCCAAATTTTGATGTGATGCTGACCTCTTTAACTTAATTTCAGAAAGTTTAGTGTGTTTATGTTCCCTCCTATTTCAGAATGATGTATATATTGAAATTCTGACACATCCATAATATTTATATATAAAGACCAGATTTGACTTTGTGATTGCTAACTTCTTCTTGAAGGTGGCTGCAGGTCAACCACAAAGTTTTGGGAATAACTATTCTAAATGGATGCTGTTGGAGAGAGTAAGATTTACACTAGACGGTCTTGAATGTAACAAGATTGGTGTTAGTTATGAAGCGTATAGGGGCCAACCAAACTTTTGTTCATCACCATTTTGGAGTTGCTTGCATAATCAGTTATCGGATTTTTGGGAGGTCAGTATCCTCATCTCCTGTCATTTTCGTCTTGATGAACTTATCCTTTTCGTCCCACATGTGAAATGGTTTTTGAAAGATAAGTTTCATCCGTGAGTCTTGTTTCAGATGCTTTTTATGTTCCTTTCTACTTTTCCAAATTCCTGTTTGTTTGAACTGGTTTATTTTCTAAAAGTTTAACCAGATCTATATATTGTGGATGGAGGAATGTTTTAAGCCCCTTTATTCTCTGTAATCGTGTTGGAATTATCACAGTAGTAGACTCAACATCTTTTTCCTTGTTGTGTTGTATAATATATGAATAATTGTTGCTAAGAGCAAATATTGCTCTTCAAACCATTTACCTTAGTAGAAATGAGACTGATGCAACTAATGCTGGCTATTTAATTATTTTATCTAGTCTCCTTTTTATGTTTTATAGGCTGACCAAAATCGGATAAGCAGGAGGCAGCCACCACAATATGTCGTTGAAGGAAGATTCGAAAGAGTCAATCAACATCCAGTTGCGTTTTCTATTATTTTGTTATTTCTTTACCAATATTTTTTTTGAAGTTTGACCATCTTTTGACCGGTACAGAATGCAGGAATAAATTCATTTTCAGTAGGGATCACAGAAGTTCTTAATACCAATCTACTGATAGAATTGAGTGCTGATGACATACAATATGTCTATCAAAGGTACTACATCTTAACCACTCTAATTCTACCCTTGAATGGGGTATACATTCCATACTTTAGTTTGGATATTTGGATTTCTGAATATAGTGAGGTCAATGGCGGGCATGTTTAAGCTTTATTATCAGATATCGTGCACTCAAATATACATGTGAAAGCCTGCATTCTTTATTATACACAAACATGTACCTTCATGCGTTCATAAAGATTTCTAGGCATAGAAATCTTCAATACATGTGTGCATATGAATACCTGCTGCAATAATAAAAATCCGAACCTATCAGCATGCAAACGCATGCGCACGCACACACACACAGTTAGACGTGGCTCCTGCTTACAAGATCTGGAAGCAAATCCTTCAATTGGAATCTAACAGCGAGGTATTCATAAGCAATTGCTTTACAACCTAAGAATACACGTAAGTTAAATTTCAAATAATTCTGAGTTGTCTTTCTCATGAATCACAGATGGCTACAGAATGGACGGTGATGAGTGGCCTTCTAAATAAAGCCATATTGTGTGACACAAAATTTGAGATTCAAATTAATTGATCTTCATCTAAACACTTTGAAATCCTTACATATCGTAAAGATTTCTATTAAATAAAATCATGCAGCCTCACCCCCCCCCCTAGCTAGTAATTTCCAATCCTATAAAGGTTCCACATCCTATCCGCATTAATGCTCCAGTGGCTACTGCCTGCCTCCTCTTCTTGTTTCTTCAACTGTTCTTTCCTCTGTCAAAACTTGTTCTTTGTTGTCAGGGTGCACAACTGATCATCCATAACGACATTACTTATTACTTGTCCTTCTTTTCCAGACTTAATTGTCGCCAATAACTTTCCTGTCACATTCAAGAAAGCTAATCTTGCTCAAGCTTATTATTACCATGGTCAGAAGAGAGTCGTTGAGAGGAAAACATACATTTAAAGTAGCTTATCTCATTTTTTTTATCATATATTCTATGGAGGTACTCTAGTTTTTTGCTCGCTTAACTTTTGCATAGTTGACATCTTATCTCATATTCCATCTCGCTCTCTTTAGGTTCCCTTTTCCCATTCTTCTTTTTTGGTAGTCTCTATTCTCTTTTTCCTGATAAGTGTCATACTGAAGTTTCAATAAATTTTCCTGTGGCAACATGAGAATGTGTATCTATATGTATTCACTAGTTATCTGTTGGGTTCTAGAGGATAATATCATTTATTTACTAGTTATTATCTTACACTTTATTTCCTATATGTATACCTATATATGTAGCATCTTTCTTCATATTTAGGCAAACCAGATTTTCATTTATGATCTATCGTTCATCAAAATGGTGAGATTGGGGATGACATAGTTAATCAAATCAAATCAGGATGGTTAGGATGGTGGAATGTTTTTGGGGTCTTATGTGACCTTAGAATACTCATGAAAATAGAAGGGAAGAAAATTCCATAAGACAAGTATAAGGTTGCAATGCTTTTATGGATAAGAATGTTGAGTTATTAAGAAACAACGGGTGCATAAATGAGTGCAGCAGATATGAGGATGCTACGATGGCCTTCTGATTGCACACTAAGAGATGGGATAAGAAATGAGTGAATCCATGGAGGTTTATCCTATTTAGGATAAATTGATAAAATGAGAGTAAACTGATCGAGATGGTTTGATCATGTGCATTAGAGAGGCCCACTAAGTGCACAAGTTAGGAGAAATGACAAGATTATAGTGAATGGTACAATGAGTAGAGGTAGGCCTAAGATAACTTATTTGGAAGCAATTAACAACGATATCATAAAAATGAATGGAGGAGACAAACCTTAATGTAACTAAACGGGACAATAGAAGTCATGTTGCTGACCCCAACAATTTAGGATAAAGGCTTGTTGTTGTTGTTGTTGTATATTTTCACTATTTGATGTTCCAGTAACCTTGCTATGTTGTCAAGTAACATTCCACTTTCTCCATATAGTAACCGCTTTACCTGTTGATGCTTGAACTATTAATAGCCTTTTGGATTCTCTGCCATAGGCTAAGTGCACTCCTCATTGGTTGATACATCAGGCTTTTATTGATGGTAGTTTTCTTTGCCCGTGATCTAGAAGGATCAATGGCTAATAAATGCATTTAATAAGTAGCTAGAAGTTCTGCCCATAAAATGTCTACCATCTTTCTAAAAGCTGGCTAAATTTTGGAACATGTGTCATGCATATAAATTGCTAGAAATACAGAGAGATTTAATACCTCTAAACAGGTTGTTTTATATGATTGTCTATTTTACCTGATTTCCTCCCATGTTTTATTTAATATCATATTAAAGTTCATCAAATCATATCTAATTGCATTCTTTTTTTAAAAATAGTATAAAATTCATTAGCAATATCTATTAGTTGCATCTGCCAATTCCTTGTAATATTTCTTTTTCAGAAGTCCTGGAAAGATCGTAAGCATAAATATCCCAACATTTGAAGCTCTTACACAATTTGGTACTGCTACAGTAGCAACCAAGAACACTGGTAAATTAGAAGCATCATATAGCCTAACGGTATGTTTACTGGTTATTCATGTAAGTTCATATGTTGATGTATAAGTGTGTGTGTATTAGGAAAATGCCCATGCCATGCTTATGAAAATTCTGAGCTCTTATTTTCTATTGCAAAATTAAAGAACAGAAAAATATGTAATCAAGTCCAATGGTCAAGATTAATATTTCTAGATACTTATTGCAGCCAGAGCTTCATCTCTTGACACTTTGATAGTGTAGTTTCCTTTCACAAATAATTCTTATTTATCTTTGATATTTTTCTTATATCAGTAATTTGCATTTGCAGTTTGACTGCCTGAGGGGCGTTAACTATATGGAGGTATTCTCCATCTTTTTTTAATCTGGTACAGTGCCTTGTTCTATTATTTATTGAAATGATTTTCTACCAGTATATATATTCCTGCTTGTTGATAATAGTGTATTGTAGTGGGTTTTAGTCCCACATTGCTTGGGAGAACAAACCTCACACTCCTCTACTTGTATAAATATATGTGCACACTCAATATTCAATTCAAGGGAAATTTACCCAAGATTCTCTCTCTCTCTCTTACTTTAACATGGTATCAGAGCTAGGGCTATTTCCCTTTCAATAAAATTTTTAACGCTTTTGCGTTCTTTTGCCAAATCTTGGCCTTATTGCTTTGCAGCCGTTTAATGTTTTATTTTTTTTATTTTTATTTTTAATTATTTGGCGTTCATCTGCCAGATATTTTGGCCTTGTCGTTTTGCGGCCTCTTAACGCGTTTCGCGTTCTCGTTTAACCTTCGGGTTCTATTTTAAACCTTCGGGTTTCATTCTAACCTTCGGGTTCTATTTTAAACCTTCGGGTTTCATTCTAACCTTCGGGTTCTATTTTAACGGCATTGTCGTTTCAAGACCGTCTCTCGGTCTCAAATTAACGGCATCGTCGTTTCAAGCCGTCTCTCGGCCTCAAACGAACGACATTAGTAACAGCATCTCGACATCTTAACGTCTCAAGATTGCTGTTATGGCTCCTTCAGAGAAGATTCCCAAACCACCTTTGCCCCTCAATGATCAAAGTGACTGGGCAGGGTGGTCCACCATTGTCACCAATGCCTTGCGTGGCGCTGGTTTGCTTGATCATCTCACCAGTACGGGACCAGTTCCACCGTCCATCAGCACTGTTGCTTCATCCAGTACTATTGCCTCTGGCAGTGGTGATGTCGATCTTCAGACTGCTCGTGCTCTCTATGTCAAGGAGAGTTCAGAGTGGCAATTGCAGGAATTTCGTGTTATGGATTATCTCACTCGCTGTGTTGGCTCTGGTCTCACTGTCGAGATTGGCTCGCTTCCCTCTGCTCAGGCCATGTGGACTCGTCTCACTGAGCGTTTCACTGAGTGCTCGGGTGCACGGGAGGCATATCTTCTGCAACGCATTTCTCTACAACGCAAAGGTAGTTCATCTCTGCAGTCCCATTTTGGACAAATGCAAGCTTTTTGGACAGAGTTACGCTCCATGCTTCCTGGACGTAATTCCACATATGAAGACTGGCTAGCCTGGTACGAACGGCATGAGGTGCATCAATTGTTTCAGTCCCTTCCTGAATATTCAACTATGGCTGATCAACTACTTCACCAGCCTCAATTTCCGACTTTGGCCTCAGTTATGGGAGCTCTCACTGCTTATGAGACCCGGCAGCAGACAGCACGACTCAATTTGTCAACAGACACTCCTACCTCTTCACTCGAGACTGTTTTGTCTGTACCTGTCACTGCTCCTGTTATGAATTATACTTCTCCACAGGCTCCCTCTCCACAGGCTCGATCTAAGCTCTCTTGCAAATATTGTAAGAAGGAAGGACACCGCATTGAGACATGCTTCAAGCTTCATCCTGAGTTACGTTCCTCAGGTACTGGACGTGGTCGGCGACCCCCTCAGTCTCAACCCTCTCGTACACCAGGATTGTTGGCCAATGCTATACCTTCTACTACTTCAGACTCTACTATTCAAGCTATTGAAAGTCTTCGCCGTCAACTTGATGCTTTTCAACATATCACCTCTACATCCGCCGCACAACTCTCTGGTATGCATTTTGCTGGTTCTTCAGCTAATCCTTCAGTCTCTGGTATGAATGATCTCTGGATTTTTGACTCTGGTTGTTCCTTTCATATGACTTGTAATGCCTCACTTTTATCCTCTGTCTTTACTTCATCCTCTCTTCCTCCTATCTACACAGCTGCTGGACAACCATTGTCCATTACTCAGTATGGCTCTATTACCCCACAAAATGATCCATCTGGTCGTCTAACACTTGGTCCCGTCTATGTGGCTCCACAATTGTGCTTGAATTTAATTTCTATTAGCTCTTTATGCATGGCGGGCCTGTTTGTCTCATTTTCTTCTGATACTTGTATTGTGCAGGATCCACAGACGGGCAAGACGGTTGGGGCGGGTCGTAGGAGGCACAAACTGTATTTTCTGGAATATCTTCACCTTCCAGAGTCCATACGTCCACGTTCTCTTGTTGCTTCTCTTTGTTCGTCAAAACCCTCTACCTCGCTTCCTGCCAATTTATGGCATAGACGACTTGGTCATGTGTGTAATAAAAGGCTGGAGAGTCTTATTCAGTCTGGAGTACTTGGTCCTGTATCATCTAGTTCTAGTATTGAGTCATGTGCTGGTTGCAAATTGGCTAAATTCACTGCTTTACCATTTAAAATGAGTACATCTGTATCCACTTCCTTATTTGATTTAGTACATTCTGATATTTGGGGGCCAGCTCCTTTGCCTTCTTCATCTGGCTACTTATATTATGTTAGTTTTATCGACGATTTCTCTCGTTTTACATGGGTTTACCTACTTAAGAATCGCTCTGACGTACTTACTGCTTATCAAGCCTTCACTGCTATGATTTTCACTCAATGGCAATCTCGTATTAAAGTTTTTCGTTCTGATTGTGCCAAAGAGTACCTATCCTCTGCCATGCGCTCTATCATGTCCTCTCATGGGACTATCTTTCAACAGTCATGTCCCTACACTCATGAGCAAAATGGTGTTGCTGAACGCAAACATCGTCATATCCTCGATACTGCCCGATCAATGCTCATTTCTTACTCTGTTCCTCGTCGTTTCTGGGCTGAGGCTATTCTCACCGCGACTCATGCCATTAATATCACTCCATCTAGCTCTCTTTCCGGTGCTACTCCTTATAGTCGTGTTTATACTCATCCTCCCCGTTATGATCTAGTTCGCGTTTTTGGTTGTCGATGTTTTGTTTTTCTGCCATCTCACGAACGTGATAAATTGTCTCCCAGAGCAGTTTCTTGTGTTTATTTAGGAATTAGTTCAGAACATCGAGGTTATCGTTGTTATGATCCCGCAACTCGTCGAGTTCATATATCTCGTCATGTTCAGTTCGAAGAGGATTCTCCATATTATTCTACTTCTGATGACTTTAATTTCCTCCACTCTACCGATCATGCTTCCCCGTCCACTGCATCACCCACTTCTTCACCTCAATTTTCCTTTCGAGATCTCCCTGACATCTCTCCCTCTCCTTCTGTTGACTCTTCCTCACCTGAGTCTTCTCTTACACCATCTAATCCATATCCTGTGGACACAACTCTCACTCCAGAAAATACTGTTGATCTTCATGCACCTGCGCCAGCATCTCCCCCGCCTGAGGTTCCTCTTGCTCTTCGTCGAGGCAAACGCCCACATGTCATGCCTGCCCGGTATGCTTCTGTTACTTCTTATTCACCTATCTTTCATAACTTTCTTGCTGCCATTCATACTATTGTTGAGCCAAAGTCCTTCCAAGAGGCAGTTCAAATTCCAGAGTGGCGACAAGCTATGGCTGAGGAATTTCAAGCATTTCAGCAAACTCATACCTGGGATATTGTTCCCTGTCCTCCTGGGATCTCTCTTGTTGGCAGTAAATGGGTTTATAAGGTCAAGTTTCGTCCTGATGGCACCATTGAACGTCGAAAAGCTCGTTTAGTGGCTAGAGGTTTTACTCAGCAACAAGGTATTGATTATGAGGAGACCTTTGCTCCTGTTGCTCAGATGCCCACTGTGCGTACTCTCCTTGCGGTCGCTGCTGCTCATCGTTGGCCCTTATACCAGATGGATGTCAAAAATGCTTTTCTTCATGGCTCTTTATCAGAGACCGTATATATGCAACCGCCTCCAGGGTCAAATATTCCTCCGGGACATGTATGTCTCCTTCGTCGTGCTGTTTATGGTCTCAAACAGGCACCCCGCGCTTGGTTTGAGTGTTTTCGCGATGTTGTGCTCAAAGCGGGCTTTATAGAAAGTCATCAAGATGCTTCTCTGTTTGTTCGCACTACATCGCGTGGCAGGGTTTTATTACTCATCTATGTAGATGATATGATCATTACAGGTGATGATATGACAGGTATACAATACGCAAAATCTCAGTTGCAACAACAGTTCCACATGAAGGATCTTGGATCTCTTCGGTATTTCCTTGGTCTAGAAATTTCTCAAGGCCCGCGGGGTGTATTACTGTCTCAACAGAAGTATCTCTCAGATATTCTAAATCAAGCTGAGTTAACTGATAATACAACTGTCGATACTCCACTCCAGCAGAATGTCAAACTTTGCTCTACTGACGGTGAGCCTCTATCTGATCCTACCCGATATCGACATCTTGTTGGTCAGTTGGTCTATTTGTGCATCTCTCGACCAGATATCTCTCATGCTGTTGGTATTGTCAGTCAATTTGTTAGTGCCCCACGTTCTGTACACTATGCTGTCTTATTACGGATTCTTCGGTACCTCCGGGGTACTAGCACTCGCTCACTTTTGTTTCCTGCTACATCTAAGTTAGAGCTTTGTGCATATTCTGATGCTGATTGGGCTGGTGATCCAACTACCAGAAAGTCTACCACAGGTTATTGTATATTTCTTGGTGATTCCCTTATTTCCTGGCGAAGTAAGAAACAAGATGTTATTGCTCTTTCCAGTACTGAGGCAGAGTATCGTGCAATGTCCACAACAGCTAAAGAGATTATTCATCTTCGTCGCCTTCTCAGTGATTTCGGTATTTCTGTTACGACTCCTACTCCTCTCTACTGTGATAATAAGAGTGCCATCCAGATTGCTAATAATCCAGTATTTCATGAAAGGACCAAACATATTGAGATCGACGCTCATTTTGTCCGTCACCAAGTTATCAAGGACAAGACAATTCTACTTCCTCATGTTTCATCCGCTGACGAGCTTGCAGATTTCTTCACAAAGGCCTTACCTGTTCATCGGTTCCAGTTTCTTGTACGCAAACTCACTTTGTTTGATCCAACATGAGTTTGAAGGGGGCTGTTGATAATAGTGTATTGTAGTGGGTTTTAGTCCCACATTGCTTGGGAGAACAAACCTCACACTCCTCTACTTGTATAAATATATGTGCACACTCAATATTCAATTCAAGGGAAATTTACCCAAGATTCTCTCTCTCTCTCTTACTTTAACACTGCTAAACATTACTGCTATATGACTGCGAGATATCATATTGAACTGTTTACCATGCAGAGTAAATGAATTGGTTCTGAAAGCATTTACTTGTACTCTTTTGTATTGAAATTCCAGTAACTGCCTTGAAAATGTTTATCCGTATTTGCATAAATAAGTTAATTACTACTTTTTGTTCTTCAAGGAACATAACACACTTCAAAGATCAAATACTCAAACAGCCTTTAAAAATTTAGTTAATATTAATAATATTTAGCACTACTTGCAGTTTTACTTCGATCTTGTGCTGGCTTCTTCTCTTGCTATAGTTCATGTTAACAGTGGTAAATGGTTACTAGCACTATTTGCAGCATGATTCTGGTGAATGCTGGTCCGAAGACTACTTTCTATCAGTCGTCTCAGTTTACGGTGCTCTATAGCTTAAGTTTTCTTAGTGAGCTGGGAAAATTTTTAGTCTTTGTCCCACCAATGGCTGAACATACAATTTAGCAAACTTTGCTATTTCCAGCATTGCATCTTTTGTTTTATATCGGGTCTCTTGCCTGTATATCTAGCAATCGGCACTACTTATCCTAGTTGTAAGTAGTGCTGAATATGTTTTTTCAGTCTTTTGCGCAGACGTATCATCTTACCTGCTATATATAGCATCCACATTTTGATTACAGTAAGACATGCACATGCTGTATCTCCTCCAGTATAGTTATTAGTATACTTGTAAAATATTAACTATTTTGTCAACTTAATAGATGACCATATAAATGTTTGTCATCATATTAAAGTTTAATGGAAAATGTTCCGATGGCCTTCATATCTATATAGTATTCTGTACATGTGACTGCAGGAACAATTCTATATAATGAAACCAGAGGAGGTTATTGTTCGCTCATTTTACCTATACCCAACAACGGATCAAGCTGGGAAGTATGAATGTGCTGGTAAGTTGCAATAGGAATGGAAAATAAAGAACTCAACTTCAGCTACTATTCTTGCTTTCACCTGTTATACTCAGATGTTGATTCTGTAAAGTTTACAGCTATCTTAAAGGCTTCTGATTTTAGTGAAGTTGATCGAGCAGAGTGCCAATTCACAACTACAGCAACTATTCTTGATAATGGAACTCAGGTTCTTGATGCACCTTTAGTGTCTATATCGTGAGACAGTGAATGGTTTTGTGATTGATATTGCTGTTATTTATTTTGTTAAATTTCAATGTTATGATTTTCCATTTTAAATAGTCATTGCCAAGCCTTTCCCCATTCAAGACAGTTCAGTTGCCTGTCAAAAAGAATCTAAATGTAGGAAAGCTGCAACCAATATTTACAATGGGTTGTAAGCTGACATAAACTCCTTACGAATTTTGTGCCATATTCCTTGCCAACTGTTCGAGAGAAGGCCCTGCGAAAAAGAACAGAAGGCGACTGAAAGGTAGCGAAAGCTACCTTTTTGGTTGTTCTACTAAAGCTTATGCAACTGCTGCAGCATCTATAAATGATCAATTTAAACTTATCATAGAAATTAGGAGATGTATATAGACTTAGATACATGTCTTGTATTATAACTTGATACCTACACATTCATATCTTGATATCAGAATATACTGCACATCGTTACTGCTTTGGGTTTTTTTTCATTCTTTTCATAACTGATTATTTTCTAACTAAGAACATTGCAGATTGTCACTACAGATGAAGCGGGGAAGAGTGGCTTACATGGATTTTTCGAATCTATCAAAAGGATGCTGAAAACAGTATGGGATGCTGTAGTTGATTTCTTTACAGGTAAAACATGTAGGTATGTGTTCTCTTATTTGCATCGTCTGGGCATGGTAGACCACACACATCTATAATTATTTTCTTAATTAATTAATATAATTAATATTATTTTTTTCTTCCAAAAATGGATTAATTCTAAATTTCTACATAATTGATTTAATACTTGAAAATATATGATTTTGGGCATGGTCTAGCTATATATTAATTAGAATTTACTAGGTGTATACTATAAAAGGAGACATGGCTACTTGTGTAGTTTAAGTAAATTGCTAATTGAAATATGAGATTTGAAAATATGTTTTTTTTAGTATTTAAGGACATCCTAGTAACTCTATATGTATTAGGTATTTGAAGAAAAATCCCTGTAATTTCCTCAAAAGAAGTAGATAGGTCACACAATTAATCATAATACCATAACACTCTGACTGGCTTGTCCAGTTTATTCGCTGCGTATCTATCACCTAAATTTTCTCTCTTTGCCACAGAAATAAATGTTCGAGCTTCTTTGATATCACTTGCCACATACAGTATATATGTGTGAGTTGGATTTTGCTCTTTGGATTACTCTTGGCAATCTTTCCCGCAGGTATAATTACCTTTATTTTGTTGGTTCAAAACTGCGATTATGTTCTTAACACCAACCCAATCTAAATGGGTTCATATTGCACACAGTGACTGTCCTGCTATGGTTATTGCATCAAAAAGGGTTCTTTGATCCTCTTTATGATTGGTGGGATGATCTATCTGGTGGAGACCAAAGAAAGAGAACCCGTCGAATACATGGGAAAGGTGTTAAACGATCTCATACTCGTAATCTTCAAGATGACTATGACATTCATTACAACAACAGAAACCATCCTTCCCATATGCAAAAAAAGCGAAGAAGTAGCAGTAACACACACCATCATGCTCTTCAAAAACATTCAAATGCTGATTTGATTCTGAACGACCAACATCAACATAAGCATGTAAGCCATCAGCATGCTCATAGACAGAGGCACAGGCATAAAAATAGCAGGGGCTGCTCGCAAGGCTACAAGTCAGAAACCGGTGCTAGGCGAGAGACACAGAAAACAGGGAGGAAACGTGAAGCACGGCAATCAGGTTATGAGTATTCCAAGCAGAAGTATGGAGATTTTGATGATCGTTATGAAGTTGACTGATTCATGCTTCAGTATTCTCATTGTAGTAGGATTACTTGACACAATCCCTTAAATATTATTCCTCAAATAAAATTTGTATCTAATATGCTAGTGAAAAGATGACCATTTCTACTTTCCATGCATACGCGAGTCAAAATTTGTTCTCTGGGATGTGTGGATTTTCACTATCCAATCCATTTAAAATATAGATTTCTATTGGGTGGAGATTGTTGGAGATATCTGCAAGTATATACATTATGGAGAGTACTTTTTTGTGGACGCATGTTTAAAAATGCATGTCTGAGGTAAAGCATGAAATACTTGATGTGTTATCTCTATTACATTTTGCTCTGCTGAATTATTTGTTCTATAGATAATATCTTTTTACCAATACCCGTCTTCTTCAGATAAAAGCGCGGTAAAACCTTCAAGGGCTTTGCATATACTTGGAGAATGAAACACGGGAAATAACAAAAAAAAAAAAAAAATGGAAAATGCAATAACTGTTTGTTACCAATTTTAAAACATTGTAAATTATAAATATTAGTAAAAATAATTAGAGCATCACTATAAAAGGTATCATATATGAATGAAGTAAATTTCATGTAGATGCTAGGATACCTGTAAACCTCTTTCTCTCTCTCCCATGATTTTCCATACCGCGCTCCCCCAAATATGAGGCTGTTTATTTCCATGCATTTAGTGAGAATTTTGCAGCCATGTATAAAAAAATAGGATCGAAAAGTTTAAAACTTTTATCAAATGCAATTAAATATTTCATGCCGTAAACACATCAAATGAAGTTAACTTAAATTATATTGATATTTGTAATTCTAGTCACATATCCTCAACAAAGACATACATGCAACCAAACAAAATTTGGTTGAATATTATATGCGATGTGAATTCTGTTTAATATCCATCCATTGTAAATAAAAGAAGGTTTTGGATATGCGCGCTTCAAAAATTTCTAGTTACGTGCATAAAAAGCTCTTAGCACACCCAATCACGAGACAAACAGCCCACTAATATAAGCATGAGCCCACTCCCAGCCCAGCCCAGCCCAGCCCATTTCCTAGTGTTCCTTCAGGCCTGCACGTTCCCATTCCCTCCTGCTCCACGTTTCCCTCTCGTGTGCTCTCCCACCTACCAACACTATCCACCGCACATCGACCATCCAACGGTCGAGATCGACCCTCCCCATTGCTTACGTGGCCCCCACTAGAGCCCTCGCTTTCGGTCCCTTCGATCGCAAGTATGGAAGCGGAAGCGGATCCCAATCTCATCAGAACTCTGAAGAAATCTCTCTCTCTCTCTCTCTCTCTCTCTCTCCAACCGCTTCAAAACTCCCAACACTGTTCGCAATTGCCTTTTGCTTTTTCGAGATTAATAATAATAGTAAATAAATAGAGACTTGGCGATTTACTCTCCTTTGTAGTTACCCTCTCTCTCTCTCTCTCTCTCTCATCGGCGATTTGAAGAAACCCTAGCCATCTCGAAATGGCGAGGCCACCTCAGGACGCGATCGACACCTTCATCAGCATCACCGGCGCTTCTGAGGCCGTCGCCGTACGGATGCTCGAGGTGAGCTTTCTCGACTTGGATCGCCTTAGGGTCTTCAATTGGATTGCTGAACTGTGGGGTTTGAGTGAGTTGTTTGGTTTGATCTGGTAGAATTCGTGTTGATTGTTTTGATGTGACGCTGAGATTTTTTATAGAATTAAGTGTGTGATTTGAGCGGTGAATGGGATGATCATCGTAAGTTCGGGATCGCGGTTGGTGGTGAAAGTTGAGACTTTGATTTTTTGATGGTGGTGTGCTTTTTTTGTGATCTTACTAGTTTCTCTAATTTTTGAAAGTCAGCCAAAGAAGGGGAAAAAAATCCAATATCAGCAAGAATATTTAAAAGCAACCGAAGAAACCATTTCTCTGTAGCTTTTGTTTTGACAAAATCATTACGATTGCCTGGAAGATCTTGCAAGAAAGTAGATTATTTAGATGGCCTCAGTTATTATATTATTGGCAGCCTACTATTTTTTTTAATAAGCATTTTACTTGAATTAGTCTTCACAGCTATTTGATTTTAAACCATGCCATAGCTTAGAGGAAGCACTATATAACAAACTATCAACACCAAAAAAAAAAAAAAAAAAAAAAAAAAAACTGGTAGGAGGAGAAAATAATTGGCGTTCTGAAAGTAACTTGAAAGCTCAAATTGCAATTATGCAATTCATTATTGTCAATTCTATGTGTGGATGAGGAATTGCAGTTCTAACATATTTGAGTTGGTCAAAAAATGGGTAATGTGAGAGAAATGCATGTAGAATTCATGTCGGTAATTAGTGGTCAAAGTTGAATAAAAATAGGTGGCTTGTGAATTAATGGTCTTGAAATTTTGAGTGATAGTGTGCTTTAACTGATACTATCAACTGCTTACACTATTTGGCTGTGATACACAAAATTTCACAGTTTTGAGTGTAGACTTCCGTATCAAAATTATCATTCAATTTTTATTACGACTTATTTCCAAAGTAGTTAGTAGACAGTTGTATACAAACTGCTGAATGGTGAACGCAAATTATTGATATGTCTAGGATGATAGATGTGAGTCATGTGCCGTGATCTTGGAGTAAGCTGTATTTTACTTAGAAGATCACATCAAGCTTGTGTGATGGAAGATTTGGCAAGGACAATAAGTTCTTTTATCTTCACAAAGAAGATGAAAGCAGAAAGAAGCAAGAGTAATAAGTGGCTACATTTAGGATTGTAACCTTACTTGCTGAACCATTTGACATTTCATCGTCTTTCTGAAGATGTTCTACTTAGTATTCAGGGTGAAAACAGTTCCTACTAAGAGTGCATGATAATCCATTGCGGTGATCCATATGGTTGGGGCTTCCAATATGGCTCCCATGGTGTTGGGTTCGATTTTGGGCTGGGTTATTAAAAAAAAAGCATGGTAAATTTGGCAAGGAAAGAATGGAAGACCATATAAAAAAATGTAATATAAGGTCGAATCATTCAAAATCATATATGAAGACATGGGTACACTGATGAGCATGGCATACAATCAGCATGAATGCGGCAAGCATTATATAGAGTTGCTTGAGATAAATATATCTTCATTTTTTTTTTTTAATGTACTTAATGAAAAAATAGTTGTTATATCTTATTGATCAGTTTTATAATGTGATTGGTACTCAGGAACATAATGCGGATCTGAATGCAGCTGTTAATGCACACTTCAATGAGGGAGACAGGGCTAGGTCCGTAATTCAAGTGTTCCTAGTCTCATTTTGACTTTGTGATGCAAACTTAATTCTTTTTTTTTTGTTTTTTTTTTGTTTTGTTTTGAGAATAAACTTATTTAGGTTTCTTGCCGCTAATAGCTAATCATTTACAGTATGTAATTGTTTTAATGTTCAGTGTACACACCATCTCGCATCCTGCCCCTCAAAATGACTTTATGGATACAGACGATGTCATAGATGTTGATTCCTCTGTTCCCGCACACCCTTTGCTGTCAGCTGCTCAAAATTTGAACCCATTCTCACTCATAAACTCAAGTTTTGGTCAAAGAATTTTTGATGGAGCTACTAGTGATTTTTCCAACCGCATACCCCGTGTTTCACATCCGAGGGAGGTAAGGGAGATTCCAATTGAATTCAAAGATGGGGATGGGAATAGTGGGCCAAGTGCTTCTTTCCATGGGCCTAACATTGAAGAAGTTACTGGAAGCATTCCCGCACATGTTCGAGAGGTCCGTGGCAATGTTGTCATTGGTGACGATGATGATGACCTTCCAAGTGCTCCAGGTCCAGAAGTTATTGAGCTTGACGATGTTCCGGGAAGACGTCCTGACCCAAATTTTACTCCCGCAGCTAATGTGTCTGACTACAGTAATGATATAGAAGAGGAAATGATCAGAGCTGCCATCGAAGCCTCCAAGCGAGATGCTGAGGCATCTGCAAGTTGGCAGTTTGATATTCCTAACGTAGTTTCTCTACCCTGACATCATTTAAGCCTTTATTTCTTATCCAGCTGATCAAATTCTTGTATATTTCTTTGTTTCTTCATTTCATGTAGGGTTCAAGTGATACAAGACATGACAAGGAATCACCCGTTATGGAGGATGCTGATGTTGCACATGCTGTTTCTTTGTCCCTGAAGGTTAGCTGTATATTATCATCCATCTTTTCTCCCCATCACTCATTTATCTTAATTTTATATGGACATTGCTAAATTTTCTGTCTCTGCATCTCTTCAGAGCGCAGAACAGGAAAAGGCTCTCCGTGCAGTGGGATTGCAGGTTGGAGAGCAATCTTCTGATCCTCTGGGCATGGAATTGGAAGATGGGGGGAAAGTGTCTACTGCAAATGGAAGGTGAATATTTTCTCTTCGCTGTATTACATTATTTCCCAATGCATTTGTTTGTGTCAGGTTCATCTTTCTCTTACTTTTTGGTCTTTTTGTATTTGTTGTGGTGAGTCAAACCTAGGTGGTGAAGCTTCAAATTTGATTCTTACTCTTTATGAATGATTTTCAATTGTTCTTTAGTAAGCCAGGAGTTCTTTGTTACATGTCTCCTGAATATATCAATTGATTGTGGTTTTTATCACATCCATTGGCATGTAGTAATGGTGGCTGCACGTATCTTTGAACCAGCTGATAGTTTTGATCTATTTAAGTGTTTTAATTAAGCTTGTTGGCAAATCTAGCTGTGTGAATTTTTATGATGGCTGTTTGATTTGTGGCTTAATTTGTCCTTGACCAGTCTACTTTTGTCTTTGCGAATTTCATATTGTATATGTTGCCTATAATATGGCAGATGAACCTTCAGTTTGACATTTTAGTTTTTTCTGTTGGAGGCAAGGATTTTTCGCATCTCAAGCAAGGGGTTCAGGTAAATTGGTTCTAGAAGAAGGTAGTAAGTCTATTCAGGAGGAAGCTGAAGATGTAGAAGAACAGCCACTAGTGAGGCATCGTTCTAGGCCCATTGCTTCTGTAAATGTAGAATCCCCAGAAGAGGTCCATAGCCCTACATCAAGTCCTGGTGGGAGTAATCATGGGAGTCATGAACCTAATGGAGATGCCTTTCAGTCTGATGAGGTATTGGTTATTTCAGGTTAAATTAGTCTTCTGTATCTGAATTGCTATTGAAAGGGCTAGTGCAGCGTCCTATGGCGCTTATTTACATATCTGATTTCTGTCTCAACATTATGTACAAGTAAGCTGCCATATTTGGTGGGATCCCTGAGGGAGGTTCCTATAATTTTACATACCCACGTCCTCATGTCATGCATTCTGATATAAACTCAAATTTCTATCCTCGAGTACCTCGACCACCATCACCCTCCCTAACTGCACAGCGTTTGCTGAGGGAACAACAGGTTCGATGTTCTTTCCCAGGCTGTTAAATAAATAGTCATTGTGGGGATGACATAAATAATGCAAGGTTTAAGCTTGCAGGATGATGAGTATCTTGCAGCGTTGCAAGCTGATAGAGAAAAGGAGTTGAAAGCTGTAGAAGCTGCTGAACGTCGTCAGTTAGAAGAAGCTGCTGCCAGACAAGCCGCTGTTGAGGAAGAGAAACGTCGAGAGGAAGAAGCTCATAGAAAGTTAGTTGATGAAGAGGTATTAAAGGATATCCTCAAAACTAAGTTCACTCAAAGCTGCATTGCATCGGCTAGTGCAGTCCTTTTTATAACTGATTCCAGTCAGAATTTTTAATATTTTCGATGTTCATGCTGAAACGAAGTATTTTATAGAGATGTGATGATCATGTTCATCTTGAGTTTTTCAGATCAAGGACAACTTTCGTTTGGGTAGCTTGCTCTTTTCCTTATTATTGCTATGCATATTAATGACATATTGGCCTAAAATTTGGATTAGCGATTTCTGTTCCTATTCTTTTCTTTTTCTGGCTCATTATATTTTGGACATTTCACTTGGGCTTCAACCTTCTCATGAAGAATACAGTTTGTTAAGCAGAAGTTTGATGTATGCTGTTTTTCCTCTATGCTCTCATGAAGTATAGGGTGTACCCTTCCCCTTAAGGCCTTAATATCAGACAGAAAGATCTATTTCTGTTGTTGCATTGATACTATATGGAAGTTATTACTTTTTCCATATTATTGTATTGTGTTGTGGCGCTATATGATAATCTGATTATTTTTTTTATCAAAGGAATTCGAAAGAATAATTGCAGCAAAACAAGCATCCCTTCCCCATGAACCTTCTTCTGATGATGAGAGTGCCGTCACACTTCTTATTCGCATGCCTGATGGAAGTCGGTGTGGACGCCGTTTCCTGAAGTCTGATAAGCTTCAGGTATAATTCATTCAGCAAACATGTTCACATAATCTTTTAGTTCTTAATTTGACTTTTTCTGATCCTACTCTTCTATTGCAGTCGCTGTTTGATTATATAGATGTTGGAAGACTTGTTAAACCTGGAACCTACAGATTGGTAATTCTGCTTGGCCATGTCTTGTCTTTCATTGCTGTTAAAATTGTTTGTAGCATGTTCCCATTGTTAAAAGCAAATGACTTCATATGGTTTAATGTTGAGTGGTGTATCAATTCTTTGATTGAGAATCTATTACATACCATGATTTCTCGTGGTAGCTTAGACATGCCATCTTTTCTCTTATTTATCATCCATTTCTCTAGATATATGACCAGTTAATTTCTTTGTATGCGGAGACATCACCCTGTATATGATGCAACATGCTTTTTTCTTTTCTGTTCTTTGATGGAGGTCCACTTTTTGGAAGTTGATATCATTTCTATGCACGGTTTTGTGCTTTTCATTCTTAAGCTAGTTTTCTATATTTTATCTGCTTTTCTCTAACTCTGACCTATAGAACCTATAGAATTTGTGGTGCCTTGGACATTTTGCAAGATTGGAGAGGTTAATTTTAGGTTAATATTTCACAAAAGAATTTGGAGTGGGTTATATTTCACAGTTAGGAAGAATAAAAGCATATTAGAGAAAGATAATAGGTTGAAGTTCAACCTTATCCAAGAATCTGCAAGGGATCATCATAAAGAAGAATAAACGCAGCAAAAGGGAGACAAAGCTTAATTTGCAGTTAGTCATGAAGTTTTATTTTTCAGATATGAATAAGGCTTGCAGAAAACATAAGCTTAATTTATTTGTCGACAGTTAAGCATACTAGGAAAATCTTCAACATTTGACCTTTGTGCAATCCCGTGTATGATTGTTCGTCTCCTCTTTTTCAATAATTTGGTGAAGTTAGATCGTCACACATTTTTAGCAGTAGATTCATCAACTGCATATTCCAGACAATAAACTCTGCCATCAAAATCCAAAACCTTAGATTTATGCATGCAGATTCTTGAATCAAAAAGTATCAGAAACTTCATATATCTTTGTAAGGATTTTCTTAAGAGAATCTCCTTGAGAGAAATACAGAGGAAGTCCCTTTCATAACTGCAAACATTTCATATATGAGATTCCTTGAGATATACTCTTGAGATATTGAGAAAACTTACCGCATAACTGCCAAAATTTTATCTACTTTTGCTTACCATCAGACCTAGTTTTATGAATTTTTTTACATGTGGGATGATGAAGTTATAGTTTTAATGTACAGAAATTTGTTTGGTAGAACGTTTAACTAAACATGAATTGTATACTGTGCGAAGTAGGAAACATATATGATATATTTGAATATTTTGCTGATGGTTAGCAATAAGTAAAATTTGATAAAATTAAAGGATTTAAAGATATATATCTGATATTTTCCCTTACTATATGTCTGCTATCAGTTACTGGATTTTTGTCGTCTTAGATAAGTGAAGAGAATGAAAGAAAGAACTAGATTAGTGGTCTTTGAGGAAATATACCTTCTGTTAGAAAGCCATTGATTGGGTGTTAGGTACCGGACTTATTTTGCTATAAATATTACATGATCGCGATAAGTAAACTTTGATAAGGTTAAAGGATTTAAAGATATACATGTGAGATTTGTCCCATACTATATGCCTGCCGGAACTCTCGAGATCTTCGTCATCTTGGAAAATCGAAGGGAATGAAACAAATAAGTATTCTTTGAGGCAATATACCTACTCCCAGAAATCCATTGATAGGATGTTAGATAGCGGACATATTTCACTATAAATTGTACATGTCAGCAATAAGTTAATAGGATGTTAGATAGCGGACATATTTCACTATAAATAGTACATGTCAGCAATAAGTTAGTTGGCAAATTTCAAATGTGATCAGTGTTCTAAGGTATATCAACTGTTAGATACGCAAGCTGGTACAATATTGTTAACTTTGGCAAGGAAAAGGATCCAATTTTGAAGTTATCAAATGGATGCATCTATCTTTACTTTTAGGATTATATTATATTAGCAGTATTCATAATTCAGAAGTTGGTGAAAATTTGTTTACTTGCATTGCAAATAGGGGGCAATACCTCTGTTGAACAATGTGATAAGATTGTCAGCTTCATTCATTTTGAAGTGGTTGAGAACTTGGGATATGGTTGTAATTTAGTACTTGTATCATTTATCTTATTCCTTTTTAATCTTGTTATACAATTGTATGCATCCAATCAAAATTGTATTTTACTGGGTCAATAAGTATTCTTAAAGGGTTTAAATGATGTGTGTGCATAAGGTGACATAGGAAACATAATACAACAACATGGATGTATAATGATTTTACGGAGGAAAATTTAGGAAGCGAAATATCAACAAAGCTTTGATGTTTATCAATAAAATGCACCGTTTCAGAGGAAATCATTTCTAAGATGTAAGAACATTTAATAACCACTATCAACATGAGATGGCCTTCGATAAGAATTGGAACACTGGAACGTTTTGTTCTGATACAATCTTAGCGTATTGCTACGAACTATGATTGATTTCGTTTAGTAAGCTAGGCCATTCTGAATTCGTATGTCCTAGTGACTGGATGTACTAAATTTAAATAAAGGAGGACAGACCATATACTCAGGGAAATGTATTGTGAAACAACTAATTTTATCTCCTCCACACAGGATGCGTCCTTACGTTGTTATACGTTGTTATACTGAGAAACATACAATCTAATTGTTGTTTCTTAAATGAGTTCCAGTTTTAGATTGTATTGATTGATATTGCAGAACTATTGTAACTTTGTCCTACTTCCTGAAATATGCAGATAAAATAGCATAATATACGTTGTTATTCATCAGCTTGTCAACAGTGTAAGCATAGTAGTTTTTAGGAGTTTGAGAATCGTTTATCCTTACGAGCAAGTTGATTTGTTCTATATATCATTCTTTGTTTCACTCTCAAGTAAGTTTGCTGATAACTGATAAGTGAAACCAACAACTTTCAGCTTATATAATACAACATGCTATGTTGTCTTTGAATATGTTGTCTTTAATATGCATTCTACTAGTTCATAGCTTACTGTCTTTGAATCTCTTACCAGTAACAGAACATTGGCCTCTAGGACTGTAATTTAGAATCTTGTGAGGCTAGTGTGGCAAATGTGTACAGAATTGTTGAACAAAAGGAAAAGGTATAATATCACTACAAGTGTAACCCCTAGAGGGGGGAAAATGACATTACTATTGTGCTGAATTTGGATGCCTTGTCTCCTAGCACATATAGTTCCTAATAGATCTGACTTGATGTAAGAGACGGTATACATTCTGCACAAGTCCTTAACCTCACTATAATCAGGCTATATAGCATCTGTTATTGTTTTTTCTATGCCTTGTTTGAGCTGGAGGTAGTGTGTTTTCGTGAATGTTTAATAACCTTAAATCAAAAGAAAGTTTGTTCTAATGCTACTTATCTGAAGTAACTTTAGCACTTTTTTTTGTCTTTTTAGTTTTCTTTAAATTTTACTGATGTGACTTGCTTTTAATCTCACAGGTCAGGCCATATCCTCGACGGGCATTCACTGGTGAGGAAAGCACATTATCTTTCAGTGAACTGGGTTTGAACAGCAAGCAAGAAGCATTGTTCTTAGAGTTGATCTAGAATAGGTCCATTGGATAGAAGAGGGATGAAATAACATTTTGTTTGGCAGACGATTCCATGTTGCTTTAAAATCATTTGGCACTATGTCAAAATATATATATATATCCAAAACTAGCAAAAATGGGTGGCCTTTGTCTTTGGTGGTGAAAGGGATCAATTGTCATCTTAATGATGTCGAAATTGAGGAGATTCTTCATCAGCACCATGATGGTGGTCATTACGCTTCATACTGTAATACCTAGTATGTACATACAAAATGGCATTTTATTGTTTGGAATTGACATTATCGTTGTTTAGTTGAAATCGTGTGGGGTGAAATGTTTTAGTTATGCTTGTTGCCATAAGTAAACTTGTTGCTATTGTGATCATGTAGAAGTTCTGCTCAGGGTTCTGAGCTGATTTTATCCTCTACTCAGTATTACCTCTAGGGTGAAATTTTGACAGTGCTTGGATCTGGTAGAGTTGGTGCACTTAATCATTAAGATTTTACTACTTTTTTTGTTTTTTTTTGTTTTTTGGGGTTTTCTATGTTTGGTGGTGGGGTTGGGTGGGGGGTTGCCGGGTATGCTGTACGTTAGACTTGCTCGTACTGATATCTGAGGGATAGGCTAGCTCGTACTGATAACTGAGGGTTAGTTCGGCAAACTCATGAAAACTGGGTCAACGCTTCGAACCTAGTTTCGAGTTAAACTAGTTCTGTTTGAACCTAGTTTTGAGTTAAACTAGTTCTGTTTTGATCCAGGAGTGAGGCGGATCAAAATAAAACCAGTATTAGGGGTCTTTATCGGCCTAGGAAGGTATTAGGGGTCTTTATTTGCCTAGAATAATCTGAGCTGGTTTTGTTCCGATTTTTCCCGAACATAGTTCTTTCCAAAACGGGACCCAGTTCACACTGGTTTTCCATTTTGGGAGTTTTGCCGAACAGGCCTTTAGCATGATCCTTACCACTCTGAAATGTTATTTCATCTTCTCAGTTAGTTCCCAAACAAAACCAAAGGTCTTAGCATACATTTCAAGCAACAGCGATAGCGAGATTTCAGAAAAAATAGCAGAATCAAGGTTTCACCTTTTATTCACTTCATACTCAAACTTTAACTAGAGGCCTAACAACATTCAGAAAGAAGCAAGGAAGGAGATTTTTTTTTCATTTTTATTCCTCGGGTGTTGCTTCATTCCATCCTTAATTAGCGCCTGTAACATTTGCATTAAGAATAAAGTCATCCAACCCATAGAAAGAAACCAAAAGCAAGAAAAGGGTGGAGTAAAAATCTTACCACAAGTAACTTGGGGGAGCTTGCATGTGGAGGGAAGACGCTGAATGATGTCAATGGTGCTGCAGAGGCAGTCACGGTCGACACCTTGAAGGGCGGAGCAGCACCCGGAGCTCGGAGGACCGGTGGATGCTCCGGGCACCACAAACGGTGCGCACGTACGGAGAGGCTGCTGAGCCCGCGAGGCGTTGGGCCGCTTGCTGTTGCCATCTGAATGTTGGCAGCTAGAGCTACGAGAAGTAGGGTGATTGTTAGGAGAGAGGACTTGATTGCTGCTGCCATTGATATGATATTTGAGAGGGTAAATTTTTTGATTTGAGTGAAGGATGGATGGTCTGGGAGTGCTCTGGTTGAGCCTATTTATTGAGTAGATTGGAAGACTGATGCATGCTTGCATGATGAACTAAGCAACTTGTGCGTGAATCACCAAATGTAACTAAATTTACATGTCTAATGTGTGAATCACCTAGATGAACACGGATCTTATCTGAACACTTTTCCCATGAAATGTGTTGATATCAATCTGTTTATTTATTTGGAAAGCTTAAGTTTCAATTCCCTCTTGTCTATCTCAATCCTTTAACTTGAAGAGTAGTAAAACATTTTTTCCGTACGGAACATGATCTTTAGGATCATGCTTCATCTCGACCAAGACCTATACTGAGTAGAAATTAATAGAAAATAGAATTTGAAATCTCATATGCATACTCATATATGTATGATACTTTGTGCAGTATTTAAGTTGTTCTTGAGCATTGATAACTATTTCTTTATATATACATGCATGCACCTTGTACGTTTGTATATTTAAACGGACCAGAAAATCAAGAAAATTCATCTGCTGAATGTGAAGTGTTCATTTTCCAGACTTGGGTTCATGATTTGATCAGACAACATGTAGAAGCGTCTGCCGATGTGATGATTTCAAAGATAATTAGTAAGTGTTCAAAGTATTTCAGATGCTCTCAAGATTTTCAAACGGAAAAATTTACAAAATAGACATATTTTATTAAATATTTAGCAAAACAGAACCTAAATATTTAGCAAAACAGTCTGTTTTGCTAAATATTTAGCAAAATAGATCTATTTTGTAAATTTCTTATTTTCAAGGGAAAATTGCTTGGGGGAACCAAATTTAGTTGGGCTATGCATCTCCACCCCCCAACTAGAGTCAATCACTTGGGGGCACATTGACCCAAGTTTTCAAGCTTTTACACCCCAAACTCACTGCCCAAGAAAACCAATTCCCGAATTACCCTTCTTCCCGATTTAAAACTCATTCTTTTTCTCTTCAATCTGGCCCAGACCTTCCCCTCCCCAACCATTGCCGACGCCGCAGTCTTCCTCCGCCCTCCGCACCCGCGTCGACCGAGTGGAGGAAGCACCCATCGCTCACCAGCAACCTCCGCCACGCGACGCCCGGCCTCGGCATCGCCGTCGTCACCTTCGGCATCTACCTTGTCGGCGAGGCCGCCTACAACCGCATCAACCGCTCTGATCCTCACTCCGGTCACTGAACAGCGGGAACCCTAACCAAAGGTCCAATCTTTAACTTCCAATCTCCCAATTTCTGAGATTTTTGTTAAAACCTAGGGTTTACTATGATTATTTTATTTTTATTTGGGGGGGGGGGGGGGGCGTTTTTTNCATATATTTGAGTTTTTGGAGTTTTTCAGGGTTTTGTGTGATTTTGGGTGTTATGGGAAAAACAAAGTTCAAGGGTCTGCAATTTACCCAGTAACTTATTATGCTTGTTCTTGTGTTACACGACACTCAGTTGCTTTTATGGGACTTAAATTTGGAAGAAATTGCTGTTTATATATGCTAGATGGATTTTGGTGTAACTGATCAATTATTTGAAGTATTTGATTATATTCTGTTTATTTGCTACTTATAAGCTGTTTGTATTGTTCATGTGTTTGTAATAATAAGATGAACAAATTCAAAAGGCAGCTCTAGCTCTATCTTACCATCAGTTAAGGGGAGTAGTTCAAGTTATAAGTAGCCTTCGCCGGTTCTTTTGCACGATTAGAACTGAGTTATAGAGTTGAGAAAAATAATGGAAAATGTTTATGTATAGAACTATAGATAGAGAAATTTCCAGTGAAGGATATATGACAGGTTGAAGTTTACCTCCCTTGAAAGTTATCTTGCATGCTAATTAGGTGCTAGCAATGGTGTGCATTGAATTGTTAATGTCGTTCTTCCAATCTGCTGGCGGTTCTATGTGCATGTCATTAAAGCAGCTAGTGAAACAGTAATAACTAATAAATGTGATGAGCCTTCAATTTTTATTGTTTTTTTTTGCCCCTTTTGGGTTGTGACTATTGCTAGATGGATTTTGGTGTAACTGATCAATTATTTGAAGTATTTGATTATATTCTGTTTATTTACTACTTATAAGTTGTTTGCATTGTTCATGTGTTTGTAATAATAAGATGAAAGATGAACCATTTGAGATGATGATAATAAGAATATGTAGATTTCTGCGTTTGAAAACAATGCATAAGGTTGGTTGTGTAACGAGTTACAGATCAAAGAAAATTTGAGATAATCCCCTTTTACGTTTGTGCCCTATATGTGATATTTGGTATAATGTGTGATTTATGCTGCTGTTATGTGATATTTTGAGTGATATACTCTGCTGTTATGTGGCATTTTGGTATTCACTGTGACTTATGTTGCTGTTATGTGATATTTTGGTATTTTGTGTGACATATGTTATTTTTATGTGATATTTTGGTATTTTGTGTGACATATGCTGCTGTTATGTGACATATGCTGCTGTTATGTGATATTTTAGTATTCTGTGTGACATATGATGTTGTTATGTAATATTTCTACATTCTGTGTGATATATTCTTGTTACCAGTTATATATGCTGCAGTTTAAGTGTTATGTGATATTTTTACAGATGTGATTGTGGTATACATGCATATTTTTTCATCAAGGCGATCCTAGAGGGAAGAGAGACAATGAACATTGAAGCCTTGCAAAGGGAGTCTGAGATGTTAGGAGCAAGACTTGCTGCTCAAATCATATGCGAATGTGATGAATTGAAGAAGTTGCGATTGAAGTTAGATATTGACGATCCAGAATATCTTTTGTACTTTGGGGGTAATAATGTACCATTGATTGAGTGGAAGTATTAGACAAACACATGTAACTATTATATTTGTTGGATGTTGGATGTTTACTAGCTGTTTGTGAATGATGAAATGTACATTTGTAATTTCTTGGTGATCTTTTTTCTTTAGCATATTAAATGGAATCTAAAAAGAAAGGTTCTTACATGTGTCACGGTTAATACCAATAAGTCACACTAGCAGATCTTGCTGCAGGTGTCCTTTTATTGGGGAGGAGGAGGAGGAGGAGGTTGAGAAGGCAATGAGGCAGATGTGTGGGCTTAGATTGGGGAGAAGGAGGAGGAGGAGGTTGAGAAGCGTTGATGGAATCTCTTCCAATGTGGTTATTAGTATAGTTGGTTTTGTGTAAATTTTTTGTTTGGACGGTTAATAGAGTTCATCGGTTTGTAAAATGTAATAAGGAAATGGAAGTCAACTTGTTTACTTTTGCTATAAAATTATATTTGTCTTTCATGTGACAAGCCATCTTAGAATTACTCCGGGTGTCCTTTTGTTAAAGTCAACTTGCTTATGTGACATATGATATAGTTCCATGTGATATATGACGGTTTCATATCACATATGCTGTTTTTATGTGATATTTGTTGTTTATATATAACATTTGAGTGTTGTATGTGGTATTTGGGTGTTGTATGTGATATTTGGGTGTTGCTTGTGACATTTATTGTTTATACGTGACATTTGGATGTTCTATGTGATATTTGAGTGTTGTATGTGATTTTTGGGTGTTGCTTATGACATTTGATATTTATACGTGATATTTGGATGTTGTATGTGATATTTGACTGTAATTTATGATATTAGGGTGTTGCTTGTGACATTTATTATTTATACATGACATTTACTAATAATATAGTAGTAATAACATAATATTAACATTATTATATTATACTATATTAATAATAGTATAATATTATATCTCTTTGGTAGGAAGAAGTTCGTTCATCGACAATGATGTGATGGAACTATTACGATGTGACAATGGAATGACCGTGTTGAATTGTTTCGAGTTCCTCTCATGTCATTGGTTGTAGGGCCACAGATAGTGATTTTGACGTCATGACATCAGCTGTCATGTTAAAATGTTGCTGGTAAATTAATTTGGACTGGAGTGTCACGTAGACTCTAGACAACGAATCTTAGGTTTTAATGTGGGATTGGTATAGATGTTGCATCTGGACGAAACTACTCTTGAGAGAGAGAGAGAGAGAGAGAGAGAGAGAGAGAGAGAGAGAGAGAGAGAGAATTATGAGAGAGAGAGAGAGAGAGAGAGAGAGAGAGAGAGAGAGAGAGAGTACTAAACCTTCATGTCGATCAAGAACACACCAAAATGTTTATTCACACCAAACATTTAGGCCCCGTTTGGATACCATGATGTTTTATTTATTTTCATGATGTTTTTGTCAAAAACAAAACACCATGTATTTAGAAATCATGGTATTTTTTGAGTTAAATCATTCTCAAACAAAAAACACAACACTTATTTCAAAACATCTTTTAGGTGCTTTAAATTTGGTGTTTTAGTTTTGAGTTTAAGGAGGTGTTAATATAATATATTAAATATAATTAATAAATAGTAATTATCAACATACTTATTATATTATACTATACTATATTAATCTAATATATATGTAATATTTATTAAATAATATAAATATAAAATAATTAAAATATCTTATATAATAATATAATAACATATTAAATACTAGTACTTAATATGTTGACAATTGTTTGTTGGAAATTTGCAGTAAAAGAAATAATGAAAGAAAAATTTGACTTGTATTCCTCTCAAAATCAATTACAATTTGGATTCCGATTACAAAAGAGAGGAGAATGAATTCGATTCTCCCCTTTATTTAATTCTGGGTTCTTCACGGTGGCGATGAGATGCCTCCCTCGAATGCTCGCGTCGAGTTTGCTTCTCGTTGACGATCCGAACATCTTGATTCACTGGAACGATGTCTTCTCCTCACGATTTGACGCTGTGGAGAACTTGCGTAGCAAGTTTTGAAATAACTCTTGACGAGTTGATAACTCTGAACGAATTTTAGAAGAACTCGTAGAGTAAGTTTTGAACTCTGATCGAGTTGATAACTCTGAACGAGTTTGAACTCTTGAAAAAGAGTTGATTTGAACCGAAAGTTCGGTTAATAAGCCAAGGAAGAAGCTCCTGTTGCTGGTCTCCAAAACTCCTTGTTGCTGCAGAACGCGGCAAGATGCTCGATCAAGGATCCCCAAAAAGTCAGCTCCCCCCCTCCAAAAAAAGAGGATCCGAACTCAGTTGAGTTTTGAGGTATTTATAGGGGGTTAAGGGTATAACCGCCCCCTTAAATATCTCCTTAATGAGGGTTTAATGGGGTCTAACTGCTCCCCATAAATCTCTCCATGATAGGGTAGTGATCCCCTAAAATCTTGGGGAGAAAACGGTTCTGGAACCGTTCAAATCGTGCTTGAACGAGTTAAACGCTGAAAACAGCGTTCTGGGCTCGAACTGTGCGTTTCTGGACCTGAAACGCACAGTTGAGGTTGAAAAACGCACAGCTGGGGCTGAAAACGCACAGCTGGAGCTGAAAAACGCACAGCTGGGCTGAAAACGCACAGTTGAGGCTGAAAACGCACAGCTGAGGCTGAAAACGCACAGCTGGGCCTGTAAACGCACAGTTGGCCTGTTTCAGGCTAAAAACGCACAGTTGAGCCCATAAACGCACAGTTGAGCCGTAAACGCACAGTTGGCCTGTAAACGCACAGTTGGCCTGTTTCAGGCTAAAAACGCACAGTTGAGCCCATAAACGCACAGTTGGCCTGTAAACGCACAGTTGGCCTGTTTAAAGGCTGAAAACGCACAGTTGTGCTGTTTTAAAGATTAACTCTGCGTTTCTAGATTGAAAACGCAGAGTTGAGCCTGTTTAAAGGCTGAAAACGCACAGTTGTGCTGTTTTAGCGATTAACTCTGCGTTTTGATGTTGAAAACGCAGAGTTGAGCATGTGCGCTTTGACTCTGTAATGCAGAGGCGAACCTTAGGCGGGCTTGGCGGGCTTCAGGCTAAGTCCAATGTTCTGATGAAGTCCAGTCTTGCAGACGGACCTCAGAACATAATTTGCTGCGAAGAACAGGTCATAACTTTCAAACCGTAAGTGGGAATTAGACGAATTATATATGAAAATCGGCTATCTCGACGAGACGGGGCCATCCGAACCGAGCCGAAGGCTTCGGTTCGCTTCCTCCGTTTTGCCAAATTCCTTACGGTTTGAGAGATATCTGCATTTTAATATGAAGAGACCGTCAATTTGTAGTCTCTTTTGCTAGAGCTTTGCACAGATCGTCCTCTTGTAATCTTCGTTTTGGCTCCTTGAAAATATGAGAGTCGTCAGGTTGTAACTCCCGATGTTGATTGTGAATGCTGTTGAATTGGGGCCTTCATTAGTTGTTGTGAAGGTCGTCAGATTGTAACCTTCTACGTGAAAGTCCTCAAATTGTAGCCTTCTGGAAGTCGTCAGATTATAACTTCCATCATCGGCGTTTGATGAGGGATTAACTATCTATTGTGATTTTTAGACAGCCTACAACAATGTATTATATAATAATAAATAATAATAAAATATAAATAAACTAATAAAAAAAATAAAAATCTATTGATGATAAATAATAATATAATAATATACGTACAATATTATAATCATGATAGTATTATTAACGTTTTAATAAATAACTTGTAATAAATTAATAATTATAAAATATTGTATAATAGTAACATATTTAACAATAAAAAATATAATAGAATAATAATATTATAATAATATATTGTATAGTAAATGTAATATAATATATAAAATATTAATATATTATACACTAAATAATTTAATATATTATAAAGTAAAATAATTTATTGCTAACAATATTAATGTAAAAATAATACATTCATAATATAATAATAAATATTTATATCATAAATTATTAAAGTATTATTAATAAACTCTAACATATTAGAAACTATAATATATTATATAATATTAAAATATTTGTAATATATGAATTTATTAATAATATAGTTGTAATAACATAATATTAACATTATTAATAATATTATATTATATTTAATAATAATATAATATTATATTAATAATAAAATAATATAATTTTAAAAAGTTATATAATATATAACAAAAACAAATTGATATACCAAAATAATTAAATATATAAAAACTTAAAAATAATATGTAATAATTATAAAATAATAATAATTATAAAATAATATAACTCATTAAAGTATAATATAAAAATATTAATATATTATACACTAAATAATTTAATATATTTAATATTAACATTATTAATAATATTATATTCTATTAATAATAGTATAATATTATATCAATAATAAAATAATATTATTTTAAAAATATTATATATTACATAACAATAACAAATTGATATACGAAAATATTTAAATGTACAATTATTTAAAAATAATATATAATAATAATAATATAATAATAATTATAAAATAATGTAACTCATCAATGTATAATATAATATTATAACACATTACACAATATTATATTGTATTATATTTAATACTTATAATACTATAATAATATATACCAAATATTATAACATTTTATTTATAAAATATTTTATTATAATTAATGTATAATATATTAATAATATGTTTAATACTAATGTTGTAATGAGTCAAACTAATGTTGAACAAAAACACTCAACATGGTGTTTTGAAAACACTTTAAGAGAAAAACACAACACTACGGTATTTTTTTTACAAAAACACAACAATGAAAACCACATGGCATCCAAAAGAAGCCTTAACTTATCAAGAAAGTCCAAAACATATTTTCTTTCATTAATGTATTGTTTTTTTTTCATGCATAATTTTTTGAAAGTTCTCAAAGAGAAAACATTAGGATACATACTAAAAGCCTATTCCTATTGCCCTTTACAACTCACCGGAGAACATGATCCAAGAAACCATAAGACGCTTACTAAAACTAGACAACGTAATCCAAAAAGCCGGGAAACCCCACCACGGTGGACAAACAGTACTTTCCGTATTCGTCCAAAAAACACCAAAAACAGTTTTTATTCATACCGTACTCCACAGCACCGAACATGGAATCGACGAATCCTAAACCCCCCACGTGTCCTTCACTACCCAATTTTGCGCTGTACGGTGCGCTGCTCCAGGTTTCGCGAAATTACCCAACGGTCGCGAGCAACGGACCGTATCCACGTGAGGAGCACGTGACATGAGGTGCGGTCACCGCTCTGCGCGGTCCGCTCACCGAAGACAGACCTCCAACGGTCGAATTCCGCCCAGATAAAAAAGAGGGCCCTAACGTTCGCATTGTCCCCAAATCTCCACCGTCGGATCATCAAGCGATGGCCGATGTAATAATTGTTAAAAAGCCCAACCAAAAATTAAAACCCCCTTCGCTTTTTTTTTCACTGAGCTCAGTGAGAGCGAGTGAGAGAGTGAAACTTTGTACTGCAGTACTAGAGCAATGCATGGAAGCTGAAGGAGGAGGAAGAAGAAACACATGAAACACAATTTCTCAACCTCTCAATTTATTCTATTCTTTATTTACAATTTATCTGTTGTTGTAGTAAAAGAAGGAGAACCCATTTGTTAGAGCTTAGGACTATGGCTGCAGACTTACTATAGAGGAAACTAATTGGATTCGTTTTTTGCTTTTTTTGGGTTCTTTGATTCTTTTGTAGGTGGTTGAATTTGCTGGAGAGATATTGATGGAGATTGGAGGCGCTGATTGTTCGCGGGCTGCTTCAATTTCGGATTGCCATTGGATTGAGAACTCCAGGACTTCAGATTAGTGGTAAGATATCTGAATTTTTTCTCCTGATATTTGCTTTCGACGTATCGATGAAACCCAAGATCAAATAACGCCTTATACCTCATCTTTTGTTGTCGAAACGAGCAGTATCACTGAAGCCCTGAAGGTGTTCGATAAAATGGAGTAATCTTTAACGACAACTTCTCAGATTAACTCCATCCATTCAAAGAATCTGTTGAATTTGTAGAAGAAGATGCCGACTAATCTATAAATGAGAAGGATTCTGGTGCTATTGAATCAGGGATCATGTTAGGATACAGTGTGATTCAGTTCTTTCACCCGACACACCCGATGATGAGCAAGGAGAGGGGAAGTGGACCAGTGTTCACCACTTCACAGTTAGTTCAGTCATTCGAAGAGCCTCTTCGATTTATAGAGGAAGAAACTTTAGATTTCGGGGATGAGAAGGACTCGGGTACAAGTGAGGAAGGGCCCAGTGAAGGATTACAGTATTGCTCAGGTTTTTCGCCCAGTATACCATCGAGAGAGGAGCTATTCGGAAATCCAACATGGATTAGAGATCACAATGAGAGTGCACAAACTGAGAATCAAGGGCTTGAGCTTGTGAGTTTGCTCACATTGTGTGCTGAATCGATTATATCAGGAAACCGCGCAGCTATAAACTTCTTTCTTTCCAGATTGGGGGAGATGGCGTCACCTATAGGAAGCCCAATTCATCGAGTTGTAGCTTATTTGACCGAAGCATTGGCATTGAGGGCAGTAAAGATTTGGCCTCAAGTATTCTCTATATCTCCACCGAGAGAGATCACTGATCAAATTGAGCATGATGATGAAGCGATTGCGGTCAGGCTACTTAACCAAGTGAGCCCCATTCCGAGATTTCTCCATTTCACGTTGAATGAGAGATTGCTCAGAGAATTTGAAGGAAAAGATAGGGTTCATATCATAGACTTCGATATCAAGGAGGGTCTTCAATGGCCCAGCTTGTTCCAAAGCTTAGCCTCGAGGCCTAATCCACCATCACACATGAGGATCACAGGGATTGGAGATTCAAGACAAGATCTTCAAGATACAGGAGCGAGGCTCAAATCGTTAGCCGAGTCCTTGAACCTTCAATTTGAGTTTCATCCGGTTGTTGACAGATTGGAGGATGTCAGGCTTTGGATGCTTCATGTAAAAGAAGGGGAATGTGTTGCAGTGAATTGTGTACTTCAGCTTCACAAGGCGCTCTACGATGAGAGCCAAGGGGCTCTAATGAACCTACTAGGCCTAATTCGGAGCACAAATCCTTCGATACTTCTGGTAGCTGAAGAAGAATCTGAGCACAATGACCCAAGATGGGAGATGAGGTTTGCTAACTCGTTGCAGTACTACGCCGCTATTTTTGATTCATTGGATTCATTGGGTTCCAGCTTGGCGAGGATCAAGATTGAAGAGATGTTTGCGAGAAGAATAAGGAACATAATTGCTTGTGAGGCAATGGAAAGGGTCGAGAGGCATGAGAAATTTGAAAGATGGAGGGAAATGATCGAGGATGGTGGATTTAGATGTCTGGATTTGGGAGAAAATGAGGCAATTCAAAGCCGAATGCTTCTAAGGATGTATTCATCTGGTGAAAATTATAGTATAGAGGATAGAGAAAATGCTCTTACTCTCAAATGGTTTGATCAATCTCTATACACAGTCTCAGCTTGGGCACCGATCAGTTCTTCATCCAGTCCCTCGAGTTGATGGGTTCTATACTAACTCCAAAGGTCTGCATTTTACCTTTTGGACCTTTAGAAATTCTTTGATTCTTTAGATATTTCTACCCTTTAGACCTTTGACAATTCTTTCATTCTTTAGTTATAAAGATTTTACACCTTTATTTTAGGTTGTTCAGAAGATTTCATGTCCATTTGTTGCTATTCTTTGATTTTTAGTCTCTCATTCATAGAGAAATAGAGGCAGATTCTTTAATCACTTTAGAAATTTTTTTGTAATAGTATTTCATATACACAAATTACAGAATATCATGTCAAATTGGAGGTCAATATTAATGAAACAATATTTTTTAATGTTCTTTCATGAAATTTGTCTAGTTCTTGCATCTGTATATGCTAGTCATGAAATTTGTTTCTCTATGAAATGCGTTGACCGAAGATATTTTATGTGCTTCAATCAATGATTTACATTCGAGGACTGAAATGTTCGAGAGAGGAGAAGATGGAGATTGGGGGGTTGGGATTCTTCTTCTTAAATGCTTGGATCGGTCTTTATGTATGAAGTCTTCAAAAAGGCTCCAATTTGTTCTGTGGGCATTTTCTCTACATCTCAGCCAAGATGCCAACTTTGAAGCTCCTGCACTTGCTCATTCATAATTAACACAAGAAAGCCTGCTTTATTTCCGGTGGGCCTTTGAATATTCTTTCATTCTTCGGTTAGTTTGACGACTCCTTTGTACTTCAGATGATTCTTTAATTCTTTGGTTGCTGTTATAGCAAGAAGTTAATTGAAAAAATTGTGCAAAGTGAACCTCTGTTTAAGTTCTTCAAAGTATTTTAGAGTCTATTTGTTGTATTCTTTGATCTTTTCCCATCTCATACAAAGGGGAGAGATGCATATTTTATAAAGAATTCTTTGAATTTGGCAGTTTGTTGTACTTTGATATAACACTCTTTACAAATGTACAATACCATGTTAGTATACTGAAAGGTTAATATTATATAAAGAGCATCACAGTTCATTTTTTAAATTGTTAAGTTTGTGAGCCTTTTGTCTATTTTCTCTGACTGATATTCATAGATATGATTTCATCCTTGAGATACAGAAGTCTATCAAGGATTTTTATTGCAATTCTTATATCTTTGTGATCAAATTGATTATATTTATAGGCTTCAGGCATGGGCTCTGGATACATCTAAACAATAATATCAACAGTAATAGTTATAAGTAAGTAGTAGTACATGTATGTATAAACTGTCTTATAGTCATAGTAAGTAAGTATATGTAGGTATAAACTGTCTTAGCACTCTGAAAATCACTTAATATTCGTGTTGACCTTAAATTTTATGAAAATGGGAACATATTATATAAAAGCATCGACAAAAAAGAAAAGAATCAATTGGTTAGCCCTTCATGCTAAATTTTAGTTCTTAGACTTCGATAGGTTTCAGTAAGTCCAGTCATCACTTAATATTTTGTTTTTTTAACATTCGCAAATACCCAAACTTGTGCCACCATAAGAACAGACATAAGCTCAGGAGTTTATAATTGGAAGTCGCAACAGATATAGGTGATTTAGGAGTTCATGTGTTAATGTGCACGCATGTTGAATTAATGAGAACTTTGAAAGGAAGAACAGAATGCAGATTCATCGACAAAGCAAGTAATTCTGATGATGTTGTTTAGAAATAGTCAATAGTTATACGTTATGTTTTTCACAATGTATATGGACCTAGGATTATATACCTATGTAACTTGGGATCTAATAAAATCTGAACCTTGGCATTCTCTCACTTGTTGCAACTCTTTATCAGTTCATCTGATAAGTTGTCATATACGAGCTCAAACATTGGCAAAGAGAATATTAGTTGGTTTGAGATTTGATCTGGCATCTATTTTGTATTACTAACGGTAGGTGGCCTCTAATTATCCTACTTATTGTCAAGTTTAGTTATTCTACAAGTAATTAGACAGCTCTTGACTGTTGATAAGTAGATCAGAGCTTCTATACTCATTATTTGAGTGGAGCTTAAAATGTGATTTATATCCTCACATGGGACACATCAGCCAATGGGAGCAAGATGAGTCATGGCTCACATTTCATTTATATCAATCACAAGGAATTTTCTCAGAAGGGTATAATGCTAAAGCGGACAGCTATTGCGTACTGATAAGTGCATCAGAAGCTCAACCATCACGAATATAAAAATAACTAGTTGGAGGTGTAGGAATCAGATCCATTTTCGACATGGACAATCTCCTACGGAGAGAATTCTACAATTGCGTGTTGGTTAGTAGGAAGGGGTTGTTTGTTAACTTTCGTAACAAAGCATTCTTATGTTTAAGGAATTCTAGTATCAAACCTGTAAAAATTGTGTACATTTCAAAGATCCTGTAAAATATGTATAAAATTTAAAGATGGGTCGAGACCTGTGAAAGACGATGGTTCATTGCCTACGTAGCTACTCTTTTGTGTTCGAGACCTGCAAAAAGTGTATATAATTCAAATATGGATCGAAATCCCCTTGAGTAGATGCTGGCTAATTATATCCTTAAAATTGACACGTACTGTCAGCTTACTACTGAGAAATATAGCACTGAATGCTTAGGTATTATGTCATTTTGTTATTTCTTTACTACCTGCAGTCGGCTTCATGATCTCATTCAGTTTGGGACTGGCATAGGCAGCCTAACCAATTGCTGGGGCTCTTCTAATTAAAATTGTTCCTCAGTTTTCAAAGAACAATTAAACAATTAACTTATGGGCTCAAGTTTGGTGCATTCTGAGGTAATGAGGGATTTAAACATAGGGAAATAATGATACAAGCACAGATTCGACAAATTTCTGTGACTATAAGAAGTCCTCAAATCTCAAGATACGCATGGGAAATTCCCACATGGGCCACTTCAGCAATACGTGCGTTCTTCTGTAGTTTAGGTATCAAATCTCACCAAAAAGAGCACCAAGAGAATAATTGTGTAAGATCAGTACATTATTTGAATTAAATGGAAACACCACATAAAGTGAGACCCTTGAATCGCAGGCTCAATAGGATTCAATTGTCTCTATAAGAAGCAGCTCAAAACTTTGGTGGGGCATAAACTAGACAAAATGATGCATTCTACAGTTGCCAATGTTGGACTTAATCGTGATTAAATCATAGAGATTAAAACAAAAAGAGAGGAAGCTATATCTAAATCTATTGCACGGATATGAAATTTGGATTTTGGATCTTCTAATCTTGAGAGTTCTCTCTTGAGATTTCTCTTTAGATGGGGATAACAGAATGAGAACTCAACCCTAAGATTAGGGACCATAACCTCATTATATAGACTTACAGTTTTCTAATTTAGCCACTCATTAAATTAGTATTACAATCTAGTAACTGCACAATTAGTCTATGACATATATAAATACCCATTGACCCAATTACCTGATTGATCACTTTATGTGGATCAACTGTAAAGATAGCAACATACACTGATATAACATATGTGCCCACAAATAAATTTAATTAGATTTAAATCCAACAATCTCCCACTTGAGCACCATATGTTTTCTTAAAATGTGTATAACCTTATGAGCTCAAAAATTACTATCATAAATAATGGTATTCCCAAACAATCTCGTCCATTGAGTATATCAATATAGGATCAAAGCAGCCTTCATCACATTTAAGGTAACTAAACCCATTAATGGTCACATATACCAATATAATCAAACGACATAGATCAATCATGGATGCGCAGCATGAAAATTACATGCAATGTGATAAACACATATCTATTTTCAACTGGTCCTACCTTAAACTTTAGTGAGGTCAACCTAAACATAATATACCAGAGTGTATGAACTAAATACTTTATTCTGACCAGACAATACAACCTAACATAAAGCATCACAAGCATAAACTCCCACTAAATCATGATATCCTCAAATAATACCACACTTATATGAGCAGTGTGCTCATGAAAGACCTTAGGTGACAATCCTTTAGTAAGAGGATCAGCTATCATGGAGTTTGTCCCAGTGCTCATGAAAGACCTTAGGTGACAATCCTTTAGTAAGAGGATCAGCTATCATGGAGTTTGTCCCAATGTGCTCTATGGATATCTAGGTGACAATCCTTTAGTAAGAGGATCAGCTATCATGGAGTTTGTCCCAATGTGCTCTATGGATATCTGTTCACTCTGTACGCTTAGTTTCACAACTAGGAACTTAATGTCAATATGTTTTGATTTAGTCGAGCTTCTGTTATTATTGGAATACATAATTGTAGATTTATTGTCACAATATAACCTTAGTGGTCTTTCAATATTTTTTAGAATGCACAGTCCTGTGACAAAATTTTACACCCATATTCCCTGTGACAATTTTTTTTTAAAAGCTACAAATTCTGCTGCAATAGTGGAGGAAGCTACTAGTGTCTGTTTGATATTTTTCCATGATATAGCTCCTCTTGCTAACATATAAATATAGCCTGATATAGACTTTTTGCTATCTTGCTAGTAAAATCAGAATCAGAATACCCAATGACCTTTAACTGTTTCTATTTTCTGTATGTGAGCATATAATCTTTTATTTTTAAAGATACATCGTAACTCTTTTGACTACTATCCAATGATCTATACTAGGGTTGCTGAAGTATCTGCCTAACATCCCAACAATGTACGTAATATCCGGACGCGTTCACACCTGAGAATACATTAGAATTCTTATAACTGAAGCATAAGGAATCTTTTACATTTCCTGAATTTTAAGGTTGTCTTTAGAGCACTGATTGAGACTGAACTTGTTTCCTTTAGCAACAGGGGTGTCTCCTGATCAGCAGTCTTGCATGCCAAACCTTTTAACTACTTTATCGATATAGCTCTTTTGTGATAATTCAAGTATACCTCGAGAACGATCTCGATATATCTGGATTCCTAATATAAAAGAAGCATCCACAAGATCTTTCATCTCAAAATTCTTTGATAGAAATCTCTTGGTTTCGTGCAACATGCTTATATCATTGGTGGCAAGCAATATGTTATCGACATACAGAACCATAAAAATAAACTTATCCCCACTGAACTTGTGATATACATGGTCATCAATAATGTTCATCTCAAAACTGAACGAGATAATTATTTGTTGAAATTTATAATACCATTGACGAGGAGCTTGCTTGAGTCCATAGATGAATTTTTTTAATTTACAAACCATATTCTTTAGGTCTCCTGACACAAAGTTTTTTGGTTGCACCATATAAATCATCTTGTCAATATCGCCATTGAGAAATGTAGTCTTAACATCCATCTGATGTAACTCAAGATTAAAATGAATAACAAACGTCATGATTGTTCTAAAAGAATCTTACGATAAAACCAGAGAGAAAGTCTCTGTATAATCAATGTCTTCCTTTTAAGTAAAACCTTTAGCTACAAGATGTGCCTTATACCTCTCCACATTACCGTTTGTATTCCGCTTGGTTTTAAAAATCTATTTACAACCAATTAGTTTTGCACCTTTTGGCAATGAGGCAAGTTCCCAAACCTTATTGTCTTGCATAGACTTGTACTCTTCATTCATGGCATCAATCCGCTGTTGAGAGTTAGAATTTTTCATGGCCTGAAGAAAGTTGATTGGATCATCTTCCAATATTCTATTATTATCCTCGTGTTTTGGGAGAAATACAATATAATCATCCGGAATAGTATTTCTTCTTTCTCTCATGGATCTCCTTAATGATACCGGTTCTTGAGGATATTGAGTTTGTTCTTCTGGAACATGGAGTTTTTTAACATTGTCATTGTCATCTTGAGGTTTCGTATTTATTTCTTGATCAATAACAGGTATATGAACCTGAATATTGTCAAAAGTAACTATATAGATTGGATCTGAAGTCAATTCCTCCTTAAAAGTATTGTTTCTAACCTTAT